ACAATCCTGGATAATCTCTTTAGCACAATGTCCTAATTCTATCTGCAGCTATATCCCTCTTTGCCATGCAGCCAAAAATATTCACACAGTGAGAGCATTAGGCCACGGGCAACTCTGGAGGGTGGGGATGAGGTGTAATCACAAAATACGATGGATGTTTAAATTAAAAAAATTATTACAGCAAAAGAAACCCATATTGCCATGAAATTTCCTCAAAATACTCCCCGTTCTTCAAAGACCCCGTCATTCTCACTACTTCTGCAGCAGCTCTGGAAGCCTCTTTTGTGAGTTGTGCTGTCCTGGTTGCCTCCATGTCCTGAGTCCATTCAGAATATCTACTTTTCACGGTTGTCTTGACTGTGAGCGTGAGTCAGAAGTCACACGGCACCAGGGCCCACGAAAGAGCTGGATAAGGATGCAGCACCTTGACAGAAATTACTGTCCATGTTCTGAGTCAGTTCAGGACAGCCCCCGGTCAGCACAACTAAAGACACTTGGGAAAGAGGACGCCAGAGCTGCTGCAGGAAGTGGCCAGAATGATGGGGTGAGTGGAGAGTTTTGAGGGGCATTCGTGGCAATGTGTCTTCTGTTGTGATCATTTAAAAATGGTAAACATTCACCATGTTTTGTGAACACACCTTGTATGCTGTCTACCACAGAAATCTTCCTGACCTTCATCTTCTAATACGTCACATGCATCTAATATGTCACCTAATGCTTTACACTTACCAAAAAATTTGTAAAAGCCTAATGGAATTTTAAAAATATATGGATATTTCAGTATCAGGTTATTTTTCATCTCTTCCAGAACACGTTTTGAGGGAGATGCTGTCCCCTTTCTTCTCTCTGTTCCTAGTAAGAAGCACATCGTAGCTGTACAATAAAAGGAGGGGGAATCACAGATGGGGGACTTCTGTGCCTGGGAGGGAGTCTCTTTAAGGACGAAAATGCTTCTAAAGTTGCTTGCAAACTTTGGAGGAGGGACAGAGCAGAGTCTCGGTATTCACCGGAGCATTTTCCACACACTCCAGGTGGCAGGATCTGAAAACTCTGTGGAATCTGGGAAGAAAGAAAGAAGCAGCGAGCTGGTGTAGTCTCGCGCAAGACTCCAAGAACTCTCCTTTCTACCTTTTCTTTCTTCCTTTTACAAGAGAGAAGGAGAAAGGAGGTTCTCTGATGCTGTGGAGAGGCTGAATTCAGCCCAGCTGAGCTGAGCTGGGCAGGCACCATCCAGTGCGGGCTCCTGAGGACCAGCTGGCATTGGGGATGGCAGTAAGTACCCCGGCTTCTGTTCTGTCTTCTGCAGCCCCCCTCCTTACTTTATCCGAAATAACAATGGGTGCATTGCCGGCTCAGCTAGAAGAGAGCCCACACAGGTGACCACAGTAGCTGCAAGGGCGGCCCCGGGTCTGCATCTTTCTTTCTATGATGAGCCCTCTGCCTGCTCCTGTCTGACTGCTGAATTGCCTCCTCTTCCTCTTCAGATGATCGCAGTGCTCATTTGAGTTCCATTTCCTACGAACAGCAAGCGTGTTCTGAGCACCTACTCTGAGTCAGATCTTGCATATTCATTATTTCTATCCAATATTCCTGAAAATAGATTTTGTTATTCCATTTTCATAGCTGAAACAGAACCCTCACAATAAGCAGTATACAAAATCCTTCCTCAAGTGTGCGTCCTTAGCACGCGACTGAACAAGGTTGTCATGTCGAATGAATCCACACGGGGCTTGGTTTTCTGGCCATTCCAGTGTGTGGCATAGACCGGAGGGGTGCAGAGCTGGGGAGCGGGCGTGGAGAGGGTGCAGGTCCAGGTGGGTGAGCAGCACCTTCAGCAGCGGCTCTCCTCAGGTTCTCCTCAGGGCCATCACAACGGTGGCTCGAGTGGTTCCCCTTAAGTGTGTGAGGAGCATCCTGGCAACTGCAAGGACAGTTTAGGTGACATCTGGCATGGGTTCCTAGCTTGTCAGAAAATTTCTTCACCCCTCCCTCCAATTTGGACGATGGGAAAAACCCACCCATTCAAAACCATGAAACAGACTTCCTTCCGATGTAGCCACAGGGGTTGGCAGGGTCCAGGCCTGCTGGGCAGGACAGGGTGCCCCCACTGCCTCCCACCATCAGCCCAAGGCCGCACTGGCCTTGGCCTCTCTCCTTCCTGAGCTTCTGCCCAGCCTGACCAGTGGTGCTTATTGGCTGTGCTGTCCTCAGAAATCAATGCCGAGGTGTTGCCCTGATCTCTCTCAGCACTTCTGCGTTTGTGGTCATCGGAAGCCAAGAAAGCCTTTCAGCGCCCACTTCTTGACCTTCGAAGACAGCTTTGATTTTGCAGGGTAGGGCTGGTGTCAGGTTTCCTCCTCTGCTTTCAGCGCCCCCCTTTATGAAAAGGATCTCTCAGTGACTTTGGGGATCAGTTGTCCTAAACACAATCAACAGAAGTGAAGTAAATAAAAGGTTGGTGTTACCTTTTTTTTTTGTGGTACTGGGGCTCGAACTCGTGACTTTGCACTTGTGAGGCAGGTGGTGGAACCGCTGAGCTAAATCCCTGGCCCTGGTGTCACCTTTTTATGATGTTTTGAAGTGAACAAATTCTTAAGTGGGGGAAAAAAAAAAGAACGTAGACCTTCAAAAGGTAGGATCCATTCTATGGGGGCCAGGAATTTAGCTCAGTGGTTCTGCCGCCTGCCTCACAAGTGCAAAGTCACGAGTTCGAGCCCCTGTACTAAAAACAAACAACCAAAAGGTAGGAATCATGGAATCCAACAAGAAAGCAAACTGCTTAGGACAAGAGCTGCTTGGTAGATGGGTCCTAGCATTTACCCTGCATGCGGGAGACCCACTGGGGCATACTAATTACTAAAAAGTCAGGAATGCAAACAAGATTGATCAGTATCTAATTCCTGGGAGGATGGCAAAGAAACCTTATCAATAAACAAGGGAAGCAAATGGAATGCAGTTCTGACGAAGTACTCGTTGGAGATTAGCGCACAGTGGGGTCACTGGAGGCATTTGGCTTTGCCTCTTGCCAGATAAAATCCTACTGGGCGTGACTGCGGCTTTAGCATTTGCGGGGTGGAATCATGAAAGAGGTCCAGTGCTACGGAATCCACAGGCTTTGCTTTCAAAGCAGTGGATTGAAAAATAAATTTGTGTGTTAAACATTGAGACGAAGTTTAATACCTACTTGTTAGAAACCTTTGAAGAGGGAAGATGGGGTACTTTGTTCTGGAATAGATCACTTGCTGGAATTTGACATTACTTTTATCACATTTTCTTTGAAAGATGTTTCTGACTTAACGCTTGACCTCTTGGAGAAGATAAAAGTCCTGTGTCCTATTGACAAGAATGCGTGTTTGTGTAAATTAAATACTTCTGTAATCACAAAAATCCAGCTCAGTGGCTTCAGGGTTATGTGATTTAAAGGAGATTTCAAAAATTCAAGCCGGGTACTGCTACATTTGCATACAAGTTTTCAACTCTATGGTATGGGTGTGTTCTGCCCACGGGGTCACGGCAGCCACCATGATGAAGTTTCTGTGCCTTAAGAATTTCGGAATAAAACATCTGAGATGTAGACTCATGTCCTGTTTGTTGGGGGAAAGGGAACCAGGAGAACAAACCCAGCATATTTGTATCTTTGTTGTACTTGAATGACACATCGGAGAAGTACTATCCCAATGAAGCACCTAGGGAGATTTTAATCATCCTGCTGCGTGCGGTCCCTTGTCCCTGAGATCCTGAAATAAATAAGTCTGTCGCATGTGGCTCTGGGACTCAGAAAGTTGGGCTTCGACCCAATTGCCACTGCACAAGTAGGTGAGCAGCTGTGTTAGACTTACTCGTAACATTGGCGCTAATGTTAACGCGGTGCTGCCCAAGCTTGGAAAATCATCGGATACATTTAATTACGCCTTCGCCCTCTAGCCTAAACCTGGGATTCTCTGGTTTGGGTTGAACCAGAATCACCCAGGAGGCTTGCTGCTCCTCCTCCCAAGATTGTGACTCAGAATGTGGGGCCTGGGACTCCAGATTTCTCGTTTCTAGTAAGTCTCCGGGTGAAGGGAGGGGAAGGAACAGCGGCAGGGCCCGCACTGGAGGGGCCTGGGTCTGAAACAGCAATGGCAGCTGGACAGACAGGGCCCTCTCACTGCAGCCCAGCCCAAAGTGGCTTCATCCCCTCCCCAGGAAATCCTAGCTCAGCAGAAGCAGGCACAAGCTCCAGGGCTTGCTAGGTGTAGTAAGTACCGCACTGGGGAAATCAAATCTTCAAGGTCGACCAGAAAAAGTATGGAGTTGTAGGGAATCTAAAAATCAAATATTCAATCAGAGAGATTCAAAAGACAGGAGAGATATGTATGGCCTTTCTTCATGTGCTTTGACCAGCAGCATGTATTTAAATAAGGATTGCTTGAAGGTATCCATCAGAAATGAGCTACAGCCTCGGACATCAGGTGCCCTGGAGGTTTCCACAACACAGTTATCTGGAGGGTGGGGCTGAAGTCTGATTCCTATGGCTGCTAGCAGAACAGGGGGAGCAGAGCAGGGCCATCGAGAGCGCGGCACACAGAGAGAGCACGGTGCTGATGCCGCGCTTCCCCTGGAGTTCCCGGGCCAGAACTTCACTTCATCCGGTAGAGGAGGCAGAGGACGCAGAGGAAGGGGGAAGAGGAGGGCAGGGGGAGAGGGAGGGCAGGGGAGGAGGCGAGGCCAGGACGTGGGCTCAGAGCAGCCCTGCTGGGTGTGCGTCCTTCCTGGACTGGCTTACCGCCAAGTGCTGTCCTCTCATTTCTGCGGCTCTAAGCGTGTGGGAGTGTCTCTGTTGATACTGCTGAGTTCCACATATTTAGGAAGATCTCAGTGTTTCTGAGACAGGGTCTCACTATGTAGTTGAGACTGACCTGGAACTCACTGTGTAGCTCAGACTGGTCACTGATCCTCCTGCCTCAGCCTCCCAAGTGCTGGGAGTACAGGCATGCTCCACCACATCCGGCTGAGAAGATCTCAGTTTTGACGAAAAGTACTGTATATGAATATTTCACATGCTTTGGGGTGTTCGACGCATGCATTTGTAAGAGTTTTCTTTTTTTAAACAGAACTTGTGTGTATCAGGAAAAATATGTAACTAGTATATTAAACTCAAGCTATGTTACCAAATATTATTTTACCAATATTTTATCAATATGTTATGAGGTATATCAGGCTGAAGGCATCATTTAGGTTTTTAGAATGTGAACTACTTTAAGGAATCATAGTAAGTAGTAATGGAGGTACTATTCTCATACAACCAAAATGATGAAATATTAATGTTTGGGAGCATTGTTTTGCATGGTAAAAATGAGTATTTTATTAAGATAACATGGTCTTTAATACTACTTTGTGGTGGGTTGTCAAATAACGTGTGTGTGTGTGTGTGTGTGTGTGTGTATGTGTGTGTGTGTGATTGACAATTATTTTCTGGGGAAGATCCAGATTTCTCCACTTTTTTCCTGAATGTTGCATGTGTAATTTCCCTTTTACCCCTAAAGGTTGTGTTACAAGAAATTTTATGAAATGCCCATGATTCATCGCAGATCTTATGAAAAGAATTTCAATGAAAATGTTTCCTTTTCTTCCCATTTTTTTTTTTTTAATGGAAGAAGCTTTGCTTTGTAATCAAGAGAATATATTCTTTGGAAGTGGAATTTCTTGACATTTCAGAGCTGGTGACAAGGTCATAATTTCCATGGTAATGAGACGCCTTTTAATAATGCATAGCCCCGAATGTAGAAAGCAGGTACAGCTTCCCACAAGCTGTGCTCGAAGCAAATATTTTCTATCAAGTCTGGGGGACCCGAGCGGGTCACAGTTTATCTTAGCAGTTGCATGGCCTGTAGTCTGTGGGTGCCGTAATCCAGACCTCTTCTTCCTACTGTGCCTGAACAGACCGGGATGCCTCCTTGAGCCAAGGATTCTGGATCTTCCTGCCTTTATTTCAGGGAATGGTCAACTGTGAATAAAAGCTCTCCACGCATGCTCATGAGTTTTTAATGGTCGCAGCTGTGAGTGAGGAGGGACTGGTAGGGTTGGGTTTCCATTCTGGAAGACTCTTGGAGCTTTCCCAGTTTCTGAATGATGCCCCATGCAAAGCCATTGCCATAGCTATGCAGGAGAATGATTTCATCTGGTTAAACATATGAATATATGACCAGCTTTCTAACAGTTTATGAAAACTGCTTAGGAAGCAATGAATACATGTAGCAAACACTATGCAATTGGTAGCACACTCAAGAAGGAAATGAAAGCAGGCCCTCATTCTCCTGTGACTGCGAGGGGTGTCTGTGGGCTCAGGGATCGTGTCTGCAGGAACCCGAGGATCATTGTCCCCTGCATTTACACCTCGCTGTTTAGCCTGAGCATTGTGCATTCTGTTGTTAACTATTGCGCTATATTGTTAAATACTGGAATTCCAATATTTTGCGGATAGAAGAATACAGCTCTCACATGGACTTCTAAAAGCCATTTAAATCTACAGTTGAGCTTACATGGAGAAAGTCACTGAGATATTGTTCATCTGTCTAACCACCTGAATAAGGTCTAAACTGCTCCTTTTTTTCCCCAGCTTCGTGTACCTTCATGTTTGCTGACTTCAGATCATGAATCGTGAGACCGCGGTGATTTTGCCAGATACCTGCCTGTGTGCCGGAGTCCCTGTTCCCAGTAAGTCCCTGGGGCTGCTCGGCTGAGCTCCTACAGGAGGGGAAAGAAACTGCGTTATCAGCGCAGGTCTCTCCGTGCTCTTACGGATTTGTTACACAGGTGTAGTCCATCTGCCCAGACAGTTTAGTCTTGTCTTTTGTTATCGAGAACGCCCCTAGCATACAGGTGTTAAGTAGATCGCTCTTTCAATCGTCACTGTTTATTTCTTATTTCCCCGGACTCTACAGAGGCGCCTCCATTCACGAACTTGGCTCCTTCCACGGTTCTGGTCGCAAACTGGATTGGACGAGAACCAAATCAAACTCGGTGGTTAGAGTCAGCGTGGACCTTATAGGGAGATTTGATTTGGTTCTCGTCCAATTCGGCTTGTGACCAGAACCGTGGAAGGAGCCAAGTTAGGTGCAACTGGGCCAAACACCTCTGTTTTCTTGTGAC